TTGTGGCCGTCACGTAGCTTTACCTCTCCGCCGCGCGACGACGCGACGACCCTCTTGTACCAAGCCTTGTTTTTATGTGCGCGCGGGCTGGATTCTACTGTGAGTGCCTATTATTACGCGGGCAGGATGACACAAAAAAATAACACGTGTATATACGGACATCGTGCGATCCGAGCATGTCGTAATAGTATCGAATTTGACAGTTGGCAAAACAGCGAGTGTTAAGCGCAACGAGAGCCGGTCGAAGCCGTCGGGAATCGAGCGCGACGAGGAAAGCGAAAGGCGCGTCGTCTTTTTCGCTAGCGCAAGCGCAGCTGTAAGTTCCGCGCGCGGGGCCTCTCTAATGCATGCGCGTCACACTTGGCGCCTCAACTCAATCCCCCTCGAGCGCGCGCGCGCGAGAATCAGCTCGTCTCCTTCCGACGGAGCGCCGCGCGTCTTCTCGCGCGAGGCGAGGAGGGCTCAAAGGGAGGAACGGCGCGCCTGTTTACCGATCCCTCGACGACGACGACGACGACGACGACGACGACACGTGCACTCTTAATGAGAGTTTAACGACGCGACTTGTACCGCGGACGTCGATCATTTTTTTTTTCCGGCGGCGACTTTCTTAAGTGAATTATTACGCCCATTCCGCGATCGCTTCTCTCGTTCTTTTTTCCGCTGGCGGAGTTACCTCGCGTATAAATCAGTTGTCGAATTAAAGGCGCTGCGAGCTCCCGCGGCTAAATTGGCGTAAACGTGAAAGCGTCGTGGCAACGCTCCAACCTGTATGTCTCAGCTTTTTTCGATCTCTCTTTTTCTCTCTCTCTCTCTCTTTTTCTCTCCTTCATCGGTAGCGCGCTCGTGCGAGCAACGACAAATCTTTGTCGCGCTTGCGCCACGTCGAGGACGAAAAGAAAAAAAAAATGCTCGCTCGCGCTCCGGGGTTGGCCTGCGAATTGTTGTTTCTACCCTGCTGCTCTGGTTTTAGCGCGTGAGCGCCGATGAAAAACACTCGCTGACTTTTGCAACGCAGCGGAATTTCGAGACGATGAAAAGCCAAATTCGAGCTGCGTTTTTCTCGTATAGACGGCCTCTCGCGTACGTGGGTGCACGCAAACATCCGAAGAAAGAGAGAGAGAGAGCGCCAGAGAAAATAAAGAAGAGAGTGGCACAGAGCCATGCTCGGTGTACGACTACGCGATCTGAAATTCCTAGGCGCTTTGAAATTCAAACCGTCTCGTCGCCTTTTTCCGTCTTTTCTCTCGCTACTGCTTGCTACTACTAGCGAATTCAGCCAACAGCCAGCAAGCCAAAGCCTTATCTCGGTGGCGGTAGTAGTTGAGCGTATATTTACGCGAGAGAACTGCCAAGGGAGGGAGAGAGAGAGAGAAATACTTTTTGCCGGTAGGGTCGATGGGAAACCGATTGGATTATATGTATATGAAGGGCGAAATGGCTCGAGGAAAGAGAAAAAAAAGTGTATATAAGAGAAATCTCGCACCCAACTCATTGCTGCCGCGCCAAATCCTCGGTGCGGCTAACGATATTACATTACACACATGCTTCATATTTTCTCTTATCGTTTGATCGTTTCGTTCTCTTTGATCTCTCGTTTGTCTTATATCTTGATTCAATGGTTATTTTATCGCAGTCACTTGATTGAAATGCTATGCGTATAATATTTAATTATTTTTCAGATCGAGAAGTTAAGGTCATAAAAAATATTGGCTGAAAAATTGATCACGAGCCGTCCTCTCGGTATCAACGTTGTTCGTTAAGAGAAGACATTATTGAGCAGCAGAGCTAACCTCAGGCGTCAAAGACAGATCGGTTGATGTAGAATTGACAAGGAAAAACAGCGACGACCGCAGCCTATAGATGAAAAATCTGAATAAGGCCAGTGGGGGGAGAGAGGCACAGCACAGGCGGCAGGCGAAGAAGAGAAGAAGAAAAAACAGAGTCTCGTCGGAGAGAGACAGAGAGAGAGAGAGAGAGAGAGAGAGAGAGGAAAAGTAGAGTGAGGCCTGGAATGGGAGGTAAAACGTAAGAGCTTACAGCTATCTATCGAGGTTGCTTGGGCTGTGCACGTACGTGTACGGCAAGATATCCGCTTTTGCCTGCTGGAGTTTACCTCTTCCGTCGCCCGCACGCCAAAATGTGCCAGGCTGAGAGAGAGAGAGAGAGAGAGAGAGAGAGAGAGAGAGAGAGAGAGAGAGAGAGAGAGAGAGAGAGAGAGAGAAAGCTCCAAGCCGACGTCGTCTGTTTGAAGAGGAAATTTCACAGTCGAACGCACCCGATGCAAGACGTACAGCTTCGCTCTCGCTCGCTTTTTGTGCCGACGACCAATTTCGATTACTTTATGCCGACAGAGACACAGACGTTCAGACAGAGAGAAAGAGAGAGAGAGACTCCTGATGAGATGTATAACGAAAGCGCCTTATTGATACATACAAGCTTCTCTCGTCCCGACTGTCGCCGCTGCTTTTCCAAAGGCTCTTACATGTGTTTATGTCGATAACGAATACCTTCGTTCTGCGCTCGAATCAGCGTCGTCAACAAACATTTTTCAAATCGAACGTCGAGAGAACGATCGAAATTAGGGGAATTTTAATTAACGTATCAGACAAGTACCGCGAAAAGATACTTCTTTTAGCGAGCGCAAAAGGCAAAGCAAATTCGCAAAAGTAAATGACTTCAAAGCAGCAAGGAGAGATTTTTCGTATATCAGTGTACCTCGTAGGCGGTACGGCGCACCACGTTGTAATTCTGCAGCTGGCTGACAGTTCCGAGGGAGCAGTGGCTTGCCACGCACATGCAGTTCCATAAAAAGGGGAGGGAGGGGGGAGGTGAATCAAAGGGAAGAAAGAGTGAAAAGCGGAAGAAAGACGCGCCTCTCCCGCGTCAAGACGCGAGGCATCAAGAGCTTGACGGCTCGCTCGCGACGACGACGTTTTCTTTTTTATTTAGCCATCGGACTATCACCGCGAACACTATACTGCGGTGGCTTTTTTACGTATGTGACGAGTCGAGTGCCTTTTGAGCCAGCGCAGATGCCGACGACGAAGACGGCTCTTTCATTTATTTTTCACGGCTTCACTTGAGCTTTTTCAGCTGTACTCGAGTTTATGAAAATGTTTCGGTGACAGTAATAAAGAGAGTACTCTTGATATCATGAAAGACGCCGTTTCGACCTGGCTTAGAGAGAGAGAGCAACCGTGTTTATTGCAGATGCGTATTTTAATGCAGTTGGCATGAATTCCGAGCAACGGGACTCTGCTTTAAAAGGTTAATTCCAATTAACGAAGTAAAAGCAAGTAAAGTATGCTGAGCAAAGGAGCAAAGCACGTGTGAAAGTGACCGCGCGGCTAAGGAAAGAGAGACGAATACGGGGAGTACAGAAGCAGTGACGGAAACGCAATTTGTCGTGCGATCGATCATCGGCGCTACTGCGAGAAGCGCGTTGTAAGCGCTTCGTATACAGCCGCTCGCTCTCTCGGTGGCTGTATATAGTTATAGATACAGGAGCCAACTTAACGCTACACAGCCCACTGGCTTGGGCACTCGGTCAAATAACTCCTTGATTTTCGAGCTTTATCGTACTCCTACCGGCTACTAAGCTTGTTTTCTCCAGATTAGCTCTTGATTTGTTGCAGAGGCTTTGTTCTTGGTCGACTTTTTCTCTTCCAGGACGGACGCTCGAAAAATTTTGATCGCTATTGCCAGCACTTACGGCCAATTGAGCATCGCCTTCTTGGACTCATATTGGAATACTGTCGCAGTCGTTGAAAATGAGCGGAGAAGTATTCTGCGCGTTAACGGGAATCCACGCTCGAATCTTTCTCAAGCGCTGACAGAGCGAAATTGACGCGCGACGCGCAATAAATTTCAGACGCCAGAGATTAGACGCACGAGAAATCGATTGAATGTAAATGCCATTAGCGCGCGTAGATATGGGAAGCACGTCGATATGGCGTATGAGTTCGATTAGCAGACGGGCAAGCAGCGCTCGCGAGATTCCTCTCGTTAATAAACTCCGGCGGGCGGCTGGGTCTCTCGCGCGCGCTCTCCCGGCTTTATCCTAATTACGATCTCGCCAAATCAAGGGTCGTCGTGACGTGGACGCGACGACAAGCGACTAGTCCCTCCTCCCCATTCTCGGCGTCTCTCGTGAGCGCTCGGATGATACTCTCCTCGGCAAGAGAAAAAAAAAGGCCGACGTCGCGCGAGAGGAAGAGGAAGGAGTAGGAGAAGTAGAAGAAGAAGAAGAAGAAGCAGCAGCAGCGGCAGCAGCAGCAGCAGCAGAAGGGCGCGTGAGAATGGAAATCAATACGTGAAGTGAGCCGAGCCAGCTAGTTTCGTGGCGCGCCGGCAAACTGCGAGGCTAAGTACCGCGCGCGCGAAAGAGAAGGATCGCGATAGACCCATTCAAGACTAATGGGGTTAAACGCCTTAGCTGCCGCGGCGGCGTGCAATCTGCTCGCTTCCCGTCTCTCGAAACCTGCTTCGGCCCGGATGATTATTCACTGTGCGCGTCGCCGTCGCGTTTCCACGCAAAAAGAAAAATTGGCGTCGGTGTCCTCGCGTTTCTCTTGCTTATGAAAGAAGCGAAAGGGAAACAGATCGCCAAAGCGATTTGAGGAAGCGCAGGTCTATTCTCCGAAATTTTCCACGGGAAAAAAGTTGCACTGCGGAGGAACGATAAGAGCCCGCGACATATACTCCTCGCCAGCGTTCCCCGAGAGTTCCAACGTGTCGTGTAACTTTCGCTTAACTCCTCTTTCGCGGATGCTCCGAAGGCAAGTTTATCGTTATTTATACTTGTTGAATGCACAGCCAGCCGGCCCGATAATGCCACACGACAAACCAAAAAGAACCATCCGCTCGACGTGTCCCACGAACATATAGATAAGCTATTGGCGCGCTATTGGAGACAATAGCGCTTGAATAATATTAAGCGACGTTACGACGAGACTGAGGGTCAATGAAGTCAAAGGATAGAGGTTCATATAACTCACCCTTATGTGCCATGTCGTCAGCGGTAACGGAGGCGAGGAGGCCGGTGGCGCCCGGCCATGGAGCGACCGCAGCGCCGAGCTGCTGCGACGGCAGAATCTTCGGGCCTTTCTGCACTCCGGGTCACTGAAATTACAAAGAAAAGGTACGTTTTGTTACTTCGTATTGTCTTTACAAAATATAATTTCGCTTGAAAATCATCCCGAACGCTAATGTTTCGTACTATTTGTTTTTTAAATGTATTATTTATTTTATATTCGGCACTACTTGTATTATCAATAACAGGCTTGCAATATTTACTCTCGTTTTTTTAGTAAGACAGAAAGAGGTAGTTTTAATCAATACTTGACTTAGTTGGTTGTAGCTACTGGACGCATAATTTACACGGTCGTGTTACTTACATAAAAATTAGATTTGTTGATTTTCTAGCTTCTTTTACATAGAAAAACTACTTTGCTTATTAATTTTATTAATATAATAATTGCGATAAATATGCCGATGCTTCACGATAATCACTTTAATGAAATAAATTTAATCGATCGATTGTCCTATAAGTTCACAATTTCACACTGCAATTGATACACTTGAAGGTTCTCGTTCCTATCTAAAAAAATACTTTCAAGTCCACATAGTCTCGATCACTGTGTTTCAAGCACTGTGTCAAAAAAGAACCTACAAGAGTACTCGACTCAGAAGTTTAGGAATCGATATTCGACTTTTTCTTTTGTCAAGTAATCCCAGTCATTATCGTCATCAAAAGTACACCTGTGTCAACGAAGAAAAGAAAAACGATATCGTACGTATCTGCCGCTGTTTTTCTTGATTATCAAAAAACATTAACGCAACTTCGGACGTAATTTCTTTTTACGCCATACGCTTTTATCTTTCCTTCAAGAACGTTTAATTGCGCATTTCACGTTTATGCATAATTCAATAAAATATTTCGTCGATAAATTTCAGTGATTTACGATTATGCATCCGAAAGTACAGCTGATTGATGAGTATGCAAAGAGTAATATTTTTTTTTCTAAAAACTCAATTTAAATTCTACTTTATTCGTTTGCGGCTGACGAACTGAAATACCCGTTATTTACTCAGGAGGAATTTTAAGTGCAAACAAGAATTTCTGTGGATCAATGCTAGCAAAACCTATAATACTTGCGCACTTGTCGATAAACGTATATTTATATAGCTACGAATGATATTTACTTCTCATGTATACAATAGTCAAGGAATTATCGTTCTCGTTTCTCAAGATTTTTGAACATATGTGGTTTTTTTTCCATAAATATGCGTATACTTCGTACTGAATTCTTCTAATCTCTAAATGCGTTATGTATTGTTTGCCGAATTGTATGAAAGTTTATGTCATCAGAATATCAATATATTGAACTTTTTTGAAGTGCTCTAAAGAAATTTATGTTGTAGATTTAAAATCACTATTCATTACATTGTCGTAAGTATAATAAAACAAAGGGTTTTATGATAACATTTACGTATCTTTGTAATAGATAGTTTTGCATTATGATCATCCTTTTCGAAAACTAAATTAAAGATCCTAAGTTATAAGAAATATAAAAAACGAACATTCTAACATATTCAGAATGACGTCGATATAAAATAATCTGTTGAATATAAGCCACGCCGTCTTTTCTTATCCTTTATCCCTTATAGACTGCGGTAGCGCCATTCATTCCATCTCGGAGAGTCATGGTGTGCTGATATACGATAATTCTGTATACATTCAATAGTTATAACGATCAATGAGAGAAAAGTAAATGCAGTATACTATCATCAGCAATTTCGCTGTCCCTACATTACATTACAACAATGTTGTAATGTATCAAATCAATAAGTTAAAGTGATATTCACATTTACCTAGTCAATAAAGATTAAATTGTATACAGGCTAGAAAATGTTTCTCGTAGTCAGCCGACCTAAAAAAGGAAAAAATTTCACCTAGTATTGCTGTTATATAGTGTAGGAATTAACTACAAAATGTGATTAAAAGCTTAACTTTAATCTTTTTTAAGGAAATTCAACAGTGGTTTATACAAGTGATTGACAAATTGTACATCATCTTTCTTGTTTAAGCTGTTATTCAACAAACCAATGTGTAGTATTTTTGAAATTTTGCGTTTTTTTGTAATTACTTTCGTAATTCAATATCTTAGCATTACTCCACTCAAATCGTACTATGTATCGTAACAACAGTTTCACTTCCAATGTTCGTTTATTTTCGTCTCCGGTGATCTTTTATTTTCGCCGATATAGACTGCGGGGCAAACTTATACAAAGTGCCAGTTTTTTCAAATAACTTAGTTTTGTCTTTTCCTATACGTATTATTTTTTATAGCGGGATTTTTCAACAATGGATTTGTTGTAATATTATGGTCTTGAAGAATGACTGTCCATTTTAGGAAGATACTATTATTATGTGGTATAGCGAAAAATGGTTATATTAAATAATTAGAATTATTTGAATTTTTATTTTTTTTTTTCAAATTTATATAAGTTCATTATTATGGAATAATTTATTAAAAAATTTACTATTGTTCCATTCCTTGAGAATCCTTTGAACACCTGTTCGAAGTTTTCTCAAAAGGTTAGTCTTAACATTAATATAAGTATTTTGGTCTTGTAATAAACTATTCATTTCATCTAACTAATCTCGTTTAAACAGTTGTTTCTACAGTACGATAATTCTACTAAATATTTCTGCACTACGTTCTCGTCTAAATCTTTGCGGTGTTATCATTTTACTTTTGCTTTGTAAAAGTTCCAATGGGCTACGCGTACAGAAACTCTCTTTCTACATTATTTGTCAGATAAAAACAGCTACGTTGACTGTAGACAAATGACATTAAATTCTCGTGATTCACTTGACTTGCATTTCATCCTCGTTCAATGGCGTAATTACCTGCGACCCCGAACAAGAAAACGAGAGAAAAAGAAAGCACGAACCCCGCGAGCAGTCGCGCACACCCCATGCGCTCGGAAAATTGTAGGGTGTTTAAAAAAAAGAAAGATTTAGCTAGCGAAAGAGAAAGATACACGCGTCGTCGCAGGAAGGGCTAAATTCTACACCGGACGGGGATGGAAGCGCACTAAGTGCGATAATTAGTGCCCAAGCTAAAGCGCGAGGGAGAAAAGGTGTTTACTGCACGAGTGGTTAGTGTGTACGGAGATGTGTTTGCGCTCTGGGAGCTTCTCTTGTATACGAGTTGCTTTAACTTACGTTTTATTGATGAAAATGCTATTACTGCTTCAAAGCAAGTGTTTATTATGCATTATTTTCACGAGGAATTTTATGCTCTTTAGTTTTATAACAATACTTTTTCAGATATAACATTAATATAGAAGGATATTGTCTTTCGCAATTCGGTTATATATCGCGTAACAAGGTCATAAAAGCAAAATTATACATTCTTTTTTATTCAATAAAGTTATAAACTCGTCAAGTTGTGGATTCTAAGCAAGATTAAGTATTATGTCTTCGACTATTAATTTCATAATCTAGATACAACTGAAGATGAGGAAGTGATTGCATACAAAAACGTCGATGAAAATGAAAAGAAAAACAAATTTTGAGCAGGGCATCTGCACAACCGCTAGCGTGCAAGGGCTGAGTGTCGTGGTGGAATCGAAGGCGCGCACCGACGCATATTGCGCAAGAGGAATTACTTCGGATTATGCCCGACTGAGCGCAAACAGGATCTCCACGTATTTACAAGACTCCAAACTGTCGGTTTGAATCACTTTCGATTTTGCTCTTTTTTCATTCAAGTTTCATTCATCAATAAACTTTCATAAGTCAGCGTATTCTATCCTAACGATCCATCAAGCTTTCAACAAAAATAGAACGCGAGGCAATTCTCCGTCCAGAGTCAATTTAATACCTGCAATGACCATTTCACAGCAACTATATTTTACAATGTAGGTTAATCATTCCGTTAAAAGCGATTGCAAAAATGGAATTTATCGATGCATTCATATTATAAAATATACAGTTCTTATAAACTATTCAGCTAACTGGTTTTTTTTCGGGGACACATGTACACTGAAACACACTAGCGAAGCGTGCGCCGCGGTGAAGTCGATTCGAATCGGCTTGCGGTTGGATAAGCTCGCGAGCCGTCGCGCGGCTGGCTACATCGTCAATCTGTCTCTTTCTCTCTCTCTCTCTCTCTCTCTCTTGCTCTTTCCCTTTCCTTACGCAACGGAATCTCACGCGACGACTTGACTTTTTTCCCGGCATACGCCGCGCCAACGAAACGAAGAGCGCCGCGCGCAGAGTGGACGGCTCGCGAATTAATTGATCGGAAATAATCGTCCGTGCGATTTACCTGCTTTGTTTGTTTGTTTTTCTTCAACGGTTTATTGTTATTGTTTGGTAGCAATGATGAACGTCCAGTCGGATAGTAAAATTTTGTAATGAAACTTCAAAGACGATTTTAACGTTTGGATACATTTACTGTGATTTTTTTTTCAAAAATTCACCTATAATACAGGCAGTTCTCCGGTAGAAGGAAACGTATAATGTTTCTGTTCCGTCAACTGAATATCGTTTCCTGCTCTCATTAATATAGACTTTAAATTTTCTTGAGCAAATAATTATTATAAGTAATCTAGGTAATCTCATTATCCCATAGTTTACCTACGTGTTATTCTATCGGTTTCAAGTCATTAAGCATTTAAAATCAAATTTAACTTTAATTAAAACTTGGAAATACGTTAACACATACAAGTATAGCTTGTAACTGCTGAACTGCTGCAGCAGGCGAGTTGACACAATTTAGCATTGGCAATCGATCCTTAAGTACTAGCGAGTAAAAGCCGTCTCGAGGATTTTATGAGGTACTTTTTCGACCGCGACCTCGCATACCTACAATAAACAATCGTCGACGATGCTGAGGGCGTCAAAGGAAAATTGAAGAAAAAAAAAATGAAATCAACAAAACGAGCGCGAGCTATACTTCGGTCGGCGGCGAGTTTTCTTGTTAAAAAAATAAAATGCGCACTCGAAACGTCTCGCCTGATTTGCCGGCATCAAACACGTCGACAGAAGGTGTTCGCGCGCGCACGATTACAAGAACGCCCAAGAAGTATCCGCATAGTTTCCTGAGCTCCTGGGAGAGAAAAAAAAGCAAGCGGCTCGTTTTAATTAGGCTCGAGTGGCCGACTGCCCTTCATTATACGGACGCGCCGCGAGAAATTTAATTATGACCGGCTGCCCCGAGCGCGCGAGCTTCGCGTTAAAGAGACTCGGCAATTTTTAATCAAATTGTCGACCTTTTTTTTCTTTTTTCGGAAGGAAAACACATCTTTGTGTTTGGCCGAAAGCTCCGAGCTTTCTTCTGCATCAAAAAAAAAAAAAAAAAAATGTCTAGGCTGGTTGACGAGGAAAATAACGAGGAGCACGTGCCTTGTGGGAAAGATCGGCGAACGTCGACATTCGATTCTTCTTTTGGTAATTATTCATCGATAATTTTATGCTGTAACATCGAAAAAAATCATACATTGACGGAGAAAATGAAAAGATGTTTGATATCAAAGTTGATATAGCCAAGTCCGTTTGCATTGTCGGTATATGCGCCAGTGTCGCGAGCGGGCGGTCCAAGAGGGGGACTAACGCGTTATCGCTTACGTATCTAATTTATATCTCAATTTTTTGTTAAATCAGCTTGAAAAACTGATCTTATATGCTATTCAAACAAATTTAAATGCTGGAATAAAGTTAACCTTGTATTAATATTGGAATCGTCAGTTAAATACGGCTCCAAACTATCGAGCCTCCTTAAATAAACGCATGCCATAGCACACACACGCACGCGTAACACACGTATCACGTGCATTTTACACGATGAATATAATGTTCTCGTGATGAGTTCGTTGGACAATTTTTCCGTTTTCAATGCCTACGACGCGACTTCGAATTCCCGCTAAAAAGAAAAAAAAACACCAGTGTGCTTCGCACGCACCGGAATTTATCGCGACATCTTCGAAATGAAAATTTCCATTGAATTGATTTGTAGGACACGTCGAGCCGGGAACAAATTGATTTATCCTTCGTCTCGACCAACGCTCAAATACTGTTCTTGCCTCGCCAGAGCTTTCAACAAAACCGTCAGCGGAGCTCTTTCTCCATTTCAATAAAAACAAGCGAGCGGCAGCCACGCTCGCGCATCGGGTGTATGCGTATACAGAAGAGCGCGTCTCTAAACGACACCGCGGGGTGTCCACACGTACACTTGTGCGCGCGCACGACGATTGAATACACGCGCGTCCCACGGATGTGTGTATATATATATATACATATATATGTACATATACAGTCAAGAGCTCGCAGGCTCGACTAATTACGGAATATAATATCGGAGGAATTGCACGTAGAGAGTATATGCCGGCGACGAGGCGTGAAAGGGGGATGAAATCGAGCTCGAAAGAGAGAAAGCGCGAGAGAGAGAGAGAGAGAGAGAAAGCAAGGGACCCGAGCACAGGGATTGCAAAATGGGAAATGAAAGCGAGCGAAGGAAATCGCGTTTCGCGCTGCTTTTTCGCGGTTCCGCATTGTGCCGATGATATCTCTCCTCCTCTCTTTCACTCTGTAACCCGTAAAGCCGATTTGCGCTGCTTTTTTTTCTCTCTCAGCTTTGCGGTTCGAGATCGGTTTCGATGCCCGCATATACACACGCGACTTGTTAAGCTAGAGCTTTTACCGCGACGAATGCTTGCGAATTATCTTTGACTTTATTCACGCTTTTTCTACGCATTGCTTTATTTTTCAATTGCCTTTTATTCGTCGGCGCAGTTGTTTCGCGTGTAAGTACAACAGTTTGGTCTTCATCAAATTATTGATTACGTCCATGAAATTGAAATTCACAATTATCGAAATTATTGCGCAATTCGACCGATCTGAATTGAAAATAATCGACTTTCTAAATATACTGTGCTTACGTTAATTTTGTGATTCGCAAAGTATCAATTACAAAATTCTTCCGTGTCTACTAGATTGATTATCATTTAACATAAACCGGTCTGCTAAGTTTAGTTTTACATTCAAATTTTCACGCGAAGTACTTAATCCCATCAATGCAAGCGACGTTCGAGAGAAACAAAAAAATGTTTTTGGAAACAATCGTTATACGATTCTTTCCTAATGACAGTACGACAAAATTGTCGATAATCGGAGCAAACGACATTGAGCTTTATGCGTAGTACGTGGACATAAGCTTATAATGAGTGAGCGCAAGCACGTGGACTTACCAAGATCCGCCGACGGGCGTCGTGAGCGCGGGATTGCTCTCTTTGGTTTGAAAGCCACCGCAATGAGCAGCTTCCTTTTCGTTGTCCAGGTTCTCAAAATTAAGTGTAAACTCGTGATCGTAGATTGTCACACGCGTATAAGCAATCGTAGAGTCGATTGTTAGAGCACTTTGTTCTCCAAACGAAGTAAAAAAAAAGGAAAAAACAAAATAAAACCAAAAAAAAGAAGAAAGAAAAAGAAAAAAAAGGAACGAAGAGTAAAGTATATCGTTCTCTTTGATATTTAATATTGCACTTTCATGTGAATCATTCGACGACACCAGCTAATAAATATTGGTCCAGCAGCGCGAGCTCTTCCCGTCCGACATGTGAGTGCACGCGTGTGTTGACAACGAAAAGTCGTTATCACTCGACTGGGCAAATCATCGAATTATGAAATTAAAGTCGGCTGCCTGTCTCCGAGCGCAGCACACAGCGGTGGACGTGCGTGCGATAAACCGCGTGGCCCGCGAGCCAGTGAGAGACGGACAACACTGGCTAGCAAGTCCGTGTAGCAGCGACGGGAGCAGCACACGTAGACAGAGATCGACAGCGTCGACTTTACTAAGGGTTGGTTTGGCGAGCAAGCGAGCGAGCCGTGCGCTCCCTCTCTCTTTCTCTCTCCCCCGAGTCGCTCGACAAGAGAAAGAGAGAGAGAGAGAGAGAGAGAGAGAGAGAGAGAGAGAGAGAGAGAGAGAGAGAGAGAGAGAGAGAGAGAGAGAGAGAGAGAGAGAGAGAGAGAGAGAGCGCGAGAGAGAGAGAAGCGAGCGTTTTGGGGCTGGACTGTGGAGTCGAGCGAAGGGGGGCAAGGCGCCAATGGGAGCGCGAGTTGCGCGCGCAGGATCCTGAGAGGAGCCGGTTGGGGGGAGACACCGCGCGATCCTGACATCATCGATTCTGAATGGACGAGAATGCTCAGCGGTGCGGAAGCGCCATTGGAGGGCGCCACCGAGAGGCGTCGCAAAGTACGCCAGACGCACCATCGTCGCACGCTCGCAGCCGCAGTCTCTCTCTCGACAGAGCTGCCTCGCGCACGGCTCTGCCTGCTGCTCCGCGCGATGGAGGGGGAGCGTGCAGATATCCCGCAACGCATGCGCAATCGCCGCGCGACCGGCTATGTATCTTTATGTTTTTCGCGGATGCATCCCTCTGTGATTCTCGCTTTTGTTATTCGTGACTTTATTATGGACCTAGACTCTCGCCTCGTTATAGCTCAAGGCACGAAGATTGCATTTTTCTCAAATTAAACATATTAATATCGACGAGCAAACGATAGTCAATTAGCGCACAGACGGGAGATTCATCGAAATGAACGAAAGAGAATAAATTATATTAAAATTACGATAATCCATATCCGTATGGATTCGTTTCACAAATTTTCACCTTCAAATATAATGCCACCTCCATTAACGACCGATAAATCACAAGCATCCACGTTTAAAAATGTACGTCTTATTAAATATGACGCAGAGAAAAATACCGCAGTTGTTTATTTCGCAATCATAACACCTATCTCCATAGCCAAGCGGTACTATTGATAAGGTAGACAAGTGACTGTCGTTCCTCGATTAACCAAAACAATGTGGCAATAAATTTATTCCGAAGCATCTGACTTAAGTCAATAAGTATTCCACGTTAGAAAGTTACGCTATTATAGCGCGCGCTTTGCCACAGAATTGCGTTATTGCGGTACACACGTCACAGCGGCGTGTTTTTAATGCGATCGCGCGTAATTCGAATTTTTCTTATTCCCGCTTCTTTTTACGTTTTAATTTGACGCCGACAACAGAAAAATGCATACGCATCTTATGCGTCTTTTGTCCGATATAAGGGACAGACAATTTTAAATAAGCTAGTGATCGGCGTATTCAAAAAAGTATCTTTTTCCCAGTGCAACCATAATAACCAAACAAACACTCCGTGGCTCGTGAAACGCATCGCATCGCAGCACACACTCGAGTGAAAAGAGAAAAAAAACGCAACATGAAAGTGAAGCGCGAAAGAGAGCCGACGAGTTGAAAGAGGCACAAGGAGAAAAAGAGGCGAGAGACAAAGTTAAGAGGTGCTGGGCGAAACAGAAAAACAGCGAGGGGCGATTTTCGCGCAAGGGTGCAGAAAAAAGAGAGACGGAAAGGAGGGGCGGCGGAGCTTGCTCCGGGTGTGCCGGAGGAATTTTTGCACTGCGTCGAAAGTTGGCCTCGGCTCGCTCGCTCGCTCGCTCGCGCGCAAGTGGAGGATATTAAAATATAATTGGCGTTTGTCCCCTTTGTGCAAAACTGTATCTAGTCACACGTGCGCCGGAGAGAGGTGGACTGTGGGTGTTATGCACGCCAGGCTGCCCACCGCTCTCCCTGCCGCCGCCACCGCTGCTGCCGCTGCTGGCTATGGCATAAAGCCAGCCCGCGCCGAATATTACGTTGAACGTTTTTATCGTGTAATACGCGTATACATCCGCCCGCCGACGACGACGCGCGCGCAACGCGATGCTGCCCGTGATGCGCTTGTGAGCCCTCGCTTTTGGGGACACGCTGTGTGCTCGCGTTGTCTGCTTTTGCTTTTGCAACCGACATTTTCAATTTCATTCGGTTCTTTCAATTGTCGCTGAAACTTTGAGCGATGTTCAGTCGCATTTTTCCACAGTCTGAAAACTGTAGATTTTTCGCGCGTATGGACAGTCACGACAAAATAACGCAAAACGGTCATTCGTTGCCCACCGAGAAATACGAATCCGATGGATATTCTTGTACCTTCATAGTGAAAACATAGGGAGATTCGTCTTCTAGTGCAGGCAGCTCACGTGGAGTGGATACGTAGAATGTTCGCATTCTCAAATCGACGACCTTGATCGCGAAACTCTTTGCCACTATTTAATCATGTGGTCGTTTTTCATCCTTACACAATGCCCGAGTTGTATCGTTTTAGCGCCGACGCTTCTGACGTACGCAAACTCTCGATTACTCGTGATTTATTAACGAATCCACAAGTTTCCCATGTTTGAATTTTTCATTAGCCAGTCTAGTGTATCAGAATTAATGACTGCTTATTATGAATTCTGATACACGAAACAATTTCAACTGAACTCGTGATGTTGTAGCGTAAATAAGTTTTCCCAAATGCCTGTTGGGATTGAGGATGCTTATGCATCTTTATAAAAGTCGTTTTATTTCTTTCTTGTATCTTCGTTTCCTCCAAAAAGATGCAGTAGATTTTATTCCCAAGGGGTACAATAATTTTTTCTACGTAAATTTACTTAAAAAATTATACCGAGAGTCTTCTCATACGATGAAATAACTGGATTCTTCAAATTGAAACGCCACGACCCGTAGCATTCATTGTAGCTAATAAACTTTCCAGATTAAAAGTCAAAATAATGATACATTTTTCATGTTTATATTATCGGTTTGAGAAATAAATAATTTTTTTCTTAAAGCAATAGCTCGAAATAAATAACTATTCGAGTAAATCTTTGAGCAATCGTTTTATATTTCTAAACATTATAAACTCTCATTTGCCATGTTTATCACTACATTACCAAGGGTCACCGTAACGACCTGCAACATGAATGTCGAAGGCGCGGCTCACGCAACCCTCTACACAATAGCTTCGCATCTATAGAAATTCAATGTCTATTATATATTTGGAAAAAAGCTAACTCACGAATAAATAATTTTCTTACTTTATATTTCATCATTTTAAATTAATTTTCACGAAACCTGGACCTTATATTTTCATTAAATTTTTTTGTTTCGACCAAATTTCTCCTGAAATAGCTGATTCTTATTATGTTCAAGATTTTTCCCTTCATATATGGTTCACCTTTAATTCAAGTATAACTATATATCACTGCATAGACATACAAGCATCATGGACTGCGCCTACTAGCTTGAATTTATAACTATTTACTTATCCTAGTTTGATTCTATTAGATAATAGATATGTATTTCTGAGATCTAAAACGTTTTCAAATGTTGCATCAGCTCAGTTCAAACAAAGTCACTGACAATACTGACGGTCAGTACAACCTAGCAGAAGTATAGCTCAGGCAGCTAAATTTAAATTCGTCAATGCAATATTATAAATATTATTATCGATAAAATATTGGATTATTTCCTTTACTTTTTAAAACTTTTCTTTACAAATATCATAACCAATAGATGTAAAAGTAAAGTCTAACGCGTTTCGTTATAATTTAAATAATAAATTTAAAATTACGATTTTTCCGTAAAAATGTTGTTTTGTACGTCTATCGGCTCTTCCTTCTTCGAAATAAATAGAATCTACATAAAAGAAACACAAATTTTCATGAATTTTTTTTTTTTTAATAGTTTGGTTTTTTTCTTTTCACGCTCAACAAAATTATCTGTTATTAGATTATTAAAGAACATTATACATTTTCATATTTCTTACTCTTATTGAATCTTACTATGTGTCTCGATCATAGTTTTTTCAATTTATTTCTAAATTTTTCAAAGTAGTAAAATGTATCGAAATTATGCATCGATATTATTTCGTTTTAGACTATAAAGATATAAATAAAAAATTATGAATAAATTACAACAGCATAATCTTCAAATAAAATAGTTAGGCACTATTTATATGTTAACATTTTCAATAATTTACATCAGTTGATGATAACTTTTACTCTTACCGAACCTGTCTCTTGTTAAAAGTTAAAATGAAAAGATTTACAGCTTAAGTTTTTTTACTTGCATACTCGATGTTGTTAGCGAAGAGCCCCAGTAAGAATAAAAGTTATCACAAACTGTTCAAAATGAATGCAAATTTATCTATTTCATTTGTTGAAGATTGTGTTGTTGATATTAAATAATTACTCATTTAATTTATATAAGGCATCTGAAATATAATAGCATCTGTGCCAACTAATAACAACTAAGACATGGTAAGGTTCAAAAAGGACAATAAATAAAAAAATTTAATGTTCTTTAATAAACTGATAATATTATTAATCGTTTAAAGAAAAAAGCCAAACTATTAAAAAAAGTTTTCATGCAACTTTTTACTAAGTAGAAACTTTTTTAAGCAATCATACAATACCGCGTACATAAAAATGTTAGAGTTGAAAGCTCAGAAGTAAGGGTAAACAATAGAAGCTCGCAAATTCGTGTTTTAGCCTCTCAACTGCAGATGATCATTCTCTCTCGGAAAATTTTCACCAAGCACAGAGCGAGAGCGAGAGCGAGAGCGAGAGCGAGAGCGAGAGAAAGAGAGAGAGAGAGAGTGAGAGAGAGAGAGAGAGACCGAGCCAGCTGTGTGCGGATGACAAGAGAGTGCCTTGGGCAAAGGCACAAAGGCCGCGGGCTGCTCGCTTAGATGTGAAGCGGGCTTAAACGGGGGAGATCAAGGGCGCTGGAAGTAACGCACTTCGATTTTGCGTTAGCTCAGCTACGCGTGAACCCAGCCAAGGTCAAGTCGTTTCTCTCTCTCTTCCCTGTCCCCCTCCGCCCCCATGCCTCCCTCAAACGACGGGATTTAAAGCTCCGGCGACGACGTTAC